TCCCCAGAGGACCACCACCGGGACTGACCACTCTCCCCAGAGGACCACCGCAGGACTGACCACTCTCCCCAGAGGACCACCGCAGGACTGACCACTCTCCCCGGAGGGCCACCACCGGGACTGACCACTCTCTCCAGAGGACCACCGCAGGACTGACCACTCTCCCCAGAGGACCACCGTGGGACTGACCACTCTTCCCAGAGGACCACCGCAGGACTGACCACTCTCTCCAGAGGACCACCACCGGGACTGACCACTCTCCCCAGAGGACCACCACCGGGACTGACCACTCTCCCCAGAGGACCACCACCGGGACTAACGACTCTCCCCAGAGGACCACCGCAGGACTGACCACTCTCCCCAGAGGACCACCGTGGGACTGACCACTCTGCCCGGAGGACCACCACCGGGACTGACCACTCTCCCCAGAGGACCACCACCGGGACTAACGACTCTCCCCAGAGGACCACCGCAGGACCGACCACTCTCCCCGGAGGACCACCACCGGGACTAACCACTCTCCCCAGAGGACCACCACCGGGACTAACCACTCTCCCCAGAGGACCACCGCAGGACTGACCACTCTCTCCAGAGGACCACCGTGGGACTGACCACTTTCCAGAGGACCACCGCAGGACTGACCACTCTCCCCAGAGGACCACCGCAGGACTGACCACTCTCCCCAGAGGACCACCGCAGGACTGACCACTCTCCCCAGAAGACCACCGTGGGACTGACCACTCTGCCCGGAGGACCGGCGCGCGCGCGCGGCCGCGTGACGGCGCTCCCCGTCCTGATCCGCGGTCACCCGGCTGGGCGTGCGCCGCATCACACCGAGTCATGGCGCGTTCAACCCAGCGTCTCCATTCGCCCCAAGCGTGCCGCGCCGACCGACTACACCTGAGCAGAGGCCCAACCGGTGGTAGCGTCGCTCACCACCGACGGCTACACCGGAGCGGAGGCCCCACCGGTGGTAGCGTCGTTCATCACCGACGGCTACACCGGAGCGGAAGCCCCACCGGTGGCGGCGTCGCTCACCGCCGACGGCTACACCGGAGCGGAGGCCCCACCGGTGGCGGCGTCGCTCACCGCCGACGGCTACACTGGAGCGGAGGCCCCACCGGTGGCGGCGTCTCTCGCCGCCACCGGCGACAGCGGAGGTCGCAGATCACCCTCAGAGTGCGGCACTGCCGCTCGAGCCCCGCAGCCAGCAGCGAGCGGACCCGGCCGACGACGGCGCCACAGCGGACGGCCGCACGACGGCCCCGGCGGCGTCATTCGCATCTGACCGTGTTCCAACACGGAGCACGCACACTAGGCTGCCGCGCGCCACCTGCAGTGTGAAGCCGCGGGTATAGACAGCGCGCGCGATGCTGAGGTCGCTGGCACGCTACCTGCCGACGGGCGACAACAGCAAACCCAAAAGGTCATGACCGCGCTTTTGACCCAGACATGAGGGCCGTCCGAACACGGGCTTGGCATATTCTAGACCCACATGGGCGGTTTCAAAGACCACACCACGTTCGCCACTCACAGTCATCTCAGGCGCCACCACGTCCACCAGCTGGCATGCGTGCTGGCTGGTAGTGTGACCCCCTCCCCCCCTCCCCACACACATCTACAGCGCTGCCGTAGCAGATAAGCGTGGCTGAGGACCCGCCACTCTGAAACTCCGTCCCCACTGGGCGTGCGGGCACACGATTTTCCCACGCCAGCTCGACAAGAAGAGGGCACAACGGCGGCCAAGCGGCTGGGGAGCATCGCAGAAACAACAACAAACATAAACAAAGGCGAAGCAGCTGGGGATCTTCGCTGAAAAAATTAAACAAAGACGAGGCGGCTGGGAATCCTCGCGGAAAAAAATGAATGAAAGACGGGACTAGGGTCATTATCAGGTCAGCTTCGCGGTCATCGCCGCGTCACCATGATTTAGCAAGCCATCAGGAGAACGACCACCATCGCTTTCCATGCCGTGCACGCTATTTCGAACAGCCACCAACCGTGCTGTATGTCACGCTCGGTGGCGACCCCTGTCATTCCTCTCCGTTGGCAAATGAACGCTCTGAGGTCTCGGGGCATGACGTATGGCGTCCGTCGCGTACGTGTCGAGACGCGCCGGCTTTTTGTGCTTCGAAGGGTAAGCGGCTACACGGATGATGCGGCCAGGAATTTCGAATGACTGGGGCCGGCTCATCGACACGTACGACCAGTGCTGCTTGCAATGTTCTGCTTTTTCGCTGCAGACGCGGCGGCATCAGGTCGGGATGAGAGGGGGGGGGGAGGGGGGGATGACGTGCAGCCAGTTTAAACATGCATGGCGGCGAAGGCAACGGACGCTTGCTTGGAGCTACGCCTGTTCCTCATCAAGAGACTCGATCTCTCCTTAGTCAGACCTGCGATTACCTCTACAGGTCTTCGCTGCGAACTACACGCGCACCTAAAACGACAAGCGACGTTGCCACACTAGTCCCACTAGCGTTCAATACCACGTCATGTGCTGTAATTCCGCAAACACACCGAATCTATAAACGTGAGTTTCGCCTATTGCATGGCACGTTAAGGTATTCATCGTTGCCCTGTAATCGGAGCAAACTGGGGGTGATATTGGGAACAATGGAATGCCTCGAAGATGAGCAGCGAGCGCGTAATGTAGATCTGATCACAGCGCTGTCGCCATGTTATGTTGCCATGTTGGAGCGCAGTCATTTCTGTTCTTTGTTATAAAAAGGAACACGGACGCACCATATACACATTTTATGGAGCGTAAGCGGATGCAGTGGCCATATTAGCAGCCAGGGGCCATGACGCAACCGGGATTCGAACCCGGGACCTCACGTGGGAGCCGAACGCGCCAACCAGGCGGCCATCGCCTACGCCCCCTCAATGCCTCAAGTTATGTGTTATAATCGTTGGTTATGTTCGTGCAACATTTTTACATTTATTAACTCCTTTTGCTGATTATGCGAACACTCCCCCACCCATTACGTACAACAATCAATACATACATATGATGCCGACCACGAAACGATCGGGAAACACTGGCAGCGACGCTGCGAAGCAGCACGGCCTCAAGCGGTTCCCACTCGTAAATACAACTTTGCCAACGACGGGGTATTGGTGCGGTTATAAATAGCCTTACGCGCCGTCCCTAAATGACATTCAACACCGCTTACCCGCGTACTATTTGTGTGCTTTGCTAACGATTCAATTCTTATTCACAGTTGGGCGACAGCGCACCAGCATTACATCACGCATACATAATGCGAACGCCACTCAGAGTCCAGTCCAAATTGGAGCGCGTTGTCAGGCCCAAATCGGAACGCGGCCCGGCGACAGGCGACTCCGACAACGGCACCGAGCGGGGGCCCTCCAGGCGACTCCACAGCGGCGCCGAGCGGCGACTCCGACAGTGGCGCCGAGCGGGGACTCCGTAGCAAACAGCGGCGTCGAGCGGGGACTCCCCAGCAAACAGCGGCGCCGAGCGGGGACTCCCCAGCAAACAGCGGCGCCGAGCGGGGACTCCCTAGCAAACAGCGGCGCCGAGCGGCGGGCTTCCTAGCAAACAGCGGCGCCGAGCGGGGGCTCCCCAGCAAAAAGCGGGCGTCAAGAGTCACTTCGGGAATGGAGAGGCCGCCGCGAGCAACCGATGCCGGCTGTGGCCAGACCCCTCCCCCTCCCCCCCCCCTCGGCTGTGCGGTTCGACATTCAGATCGGATCGCCGGCCGACCAAGTAGACGGCGGAGGACCGGCGGCGAGGGGTGGCCAGACCACACCTCGACCCGCCCTGACCCGCCAGCCGGCTGGGGAGACGGCGGAGGACCGGCGGCGAGATGTGGCCAGAGCACACCTCGACCCGTCCTGACCCGCCAGCCGGCTGGAGAGACGGCGGAGGACCGGCGGCGAGGGGTGGCCAGGCCACACCTCGACCCGCCCTGACCCGCCAGCCGGCCGGGGAGACGGCGGAGGACCGGCGGCGAGATGTGGCCAGAGCACACCTCGACCCGTCCTGACCCGCCAGCCGGCTGGGGAGACGGCGGAGGACCGGCGGCGAGATGTGGCCAGAGCACACCTCGACTCGTCCTGACCCGCCAGCCGGCTGGAGAGACGGCGGAGGACCGGCGGCGAGGGGTGGCCAGGCCACACCTCGACCCGCCCTGACCCGCCAGCCGGCCGGGGAGACGGCGGAGGACCGGCGGCGAGGGGTGGCCAGGCCACACCTCGACCCGTCCTGACCCGCCGGCCGACCGAGCGAGCCTCCTCCGGCCCCAGAGACATTGGTGGCCACCGGTCGTGCGAGGGAGGAACTGACTCGTGCAGTGCGAAACCGAGCAAGACCGGCAGCCGCGGTTGTGTCGTTTCAGCATTATGGCACGTCCGCTTAGTGTCCCAGAGTAGTAAGGGCCGCCATGCAAAAGCGTGCCCAGAGACAAAATGCGGGGGCGACGCCGACCACAGTAGCTGCTCTGGACAACGCCACGCCCAGAGATTCATGAAAAGCTCACGGTCCAAACTACGACACCAATGTTCAAACTTTTGGACACTAGGGGATCCTAACTCCCGGCGAGCAGTAACTCCTAGGGTCCCAGGTAACGTGGTAAAATTCACTCCGGAAAATGCAAACCTGAAAACTGGTCAGAAAACATGTCTAGAACCACATGAAAGCTGGGTGATTTCAAGTTTGGTCCGCAGACCCGTATTTAATTAGGAGTTAACTTCAATGCTTAAACATTAATTGCGGGAGAAGCATGACCGTATGCCTACATTTACATACATAGGCATACATGCGCAACAAGGTTCAATTTCTAGGACTGCATATTGAATTGAGAGCGATCCCAAGTTGATTAAAACAAAAACCCATGCCATTCAGGTTGTTTTGGGACAAAGCTCATCAAGTTTTCGAAAGTTTGAAACGTACGTCAAATTCGGGCCGTTGCGCTGGTGGTTGCCCCGCCCTCGTGCGACTGCAGCCGCTCGGGTCGGCCTCGGCGTCGGCCACTTACCCGGAGAGCATGGTGAACAGCAGCACGCCCAGAGCCCAGACGTCGCACGAGGCGTCGTAGCCCTGTCGCTTCAGCACCTCAGGCGCCACGAACGAGGCCGTGTAGCAGGGCGTCATCAGCAGGCCGTTGGACGTGCGCAGCTGCTTGGAGAAGCCGAAGTCGACAATGCGCAGCGACTCGGGCCGGCAGCTGCGGCTGGCGTACAGCAGGTTGGACGGCTTAAGGTCCCGGTGAACCACCTGGCGGCCGGGAGGGGGGCTCAGCTCACCGGACCAGGCGGCGCACGGCGGCGGACGGCGGCCCTCCCAGGCGGGTACAGCCACCGGTGCGACTGTTACGTCACCGGCGTTGCACGGCGCCGCGCCCTCCCCGCAGGCTGCGCTTCTCAGCGGTTATTTACGGCGCCCGCCACCGCCATCAGGCTGTCCGTATAGCGTGCTTTCGCAGTTCGTAAATGTCAACCGGCGCAGCGCAGCAGGTGAGATCAATAGCGCAGCAGGCCGTGCCACATCACGCCCGCCAGACTTCGGCGCAGCAGGTGAGATCAATAGCGCAGCAGGCCGTGCCACATCACACCCGCCAGACTTCGGCGCAGCAGGTGAGATCAATAGCGCAGCAGGCCGTGCCACATCACGCTCGCCAGACTTCGGCGCAGCAGGTGAGATCAATAGCGCAGCAGGCCGCGCCACATCACGCCCGCCAGACCTCGGCGCAGCAGGTGAGATCAATAGCGCAGCAGGCCGCGCCACATCACGCCCGCCAGACTTCGGCGCAGCAGGTGAGATCAATAGCGTAGCAGGCCGTGCCACATCACGCCCGCCAGACTTCGGCGCAGCAGGTGAGATCAATAGCGCAGCAGGCCGTGCCACATTACGCCCGCCACACTTCGGCGCAGCAGGTGAGATCAATAGCGTAGCAGGCCGTGCCACATCCCGCCCGCCACACTTCGGCGCAGCAGGTGAGATCAATAGCGCAGCAGGCCGCGCCACATCACGCCCGCCAGACTTCGGCGCAGCAGGTGAGATCAAAAGCGTAGCAGGCCGTGCCACATCACGCCCGCCACACTTCGGCGCAGCAGGTGAGATCAACAGCGCAGCAGGTGAGATCAATAGCGCAGCAGGCCGCGCCACATCACGCCGCCAGACTCCGGCGCAGCACCGCTGAGCGGCGGCGGCGGAGAGCACGCGGACGGACGCAGCGGTTCATCATCAGCAAAACAAAGTCAAACACTGGTGGCAAAGCCGCCGGTGCATGTGGCCTCCTGTGCCACTGACTGCGTCTCTCCACCCCAGCTAGCGGCAGCGGCGCTGTATGCTGACCCCGCTGTTGTGAAGGTACTGGACGGTGCTGGCCACCACGTGGAAGATGGCAGCCGCCTCGCGCTCCGACAGGTAGCGCTGGCGCAGCAGCTTGTCGAGCAGCTCGCCGCCCTGCAGCAGCTCCGTCACCAGGTATATGCTGCGCTCGTCCTCGTACACCTGCGGCGAGAGAGCCGGTGGTCAGCTCGACACATCATCGGGTATACACGCCTCCGGCACCAGGTACATACTGAACGCGGGTATATGCGCCTCCGGCACCAGGCACACACTGAACGCGGGTATACGCGCCCCCGGCTACAGGTACACACTGAACGCTGGTATACGCGCCTCCGGCACCAGGTACAAACTGAACGCGGGCGCACGCGCCTCCGGCACCAGGTACATACTGAACGCGGGTATATGCGCTTCCGGCACCAGACACACAATGAACGCGGGTATACGCGTCCCCGGCTACAGGTACACACCGAATGCGGGTATGCATGCCTCCGGCCCCAGGTACACACTGAACGCAGGTATATGCGCCTCCGGCACCAGGCACACACTGAACGCGGGTATACGCACCTCCGGCGCCAGTTACACTGCACACCGGTATACGCGCCTCCGGCATCAAGTATACAGTGCACGCGGGTAAACGCGCCTCCAGCACCAGGCGCACCTTCGGCAACAGGTATACACTGCACACAGGTACACATGGGTATACGCGGGTATACACCGCGCTCGCACTTCGCCTTTGTGTACACTATTTCGAGCGTTGCACACACAAAGACGAAGCCAGTCAGGAGCTTCGTGCTTCGGAAACGCGAAGCCAAAGTCAAACCGCAATCAGTTCAAAACCACGAGGCCGGAGCCGAAGCCAAATTTACTGCACAATACTGTTGTGCGCAGCCAAAATAATTTTTGCGTCTGCTTCAACTGTGTGGAAACAGAACAATACCAGGGGTTTTGCTGAGTGATTCGGACACTGTGTTTAAAGGAAGCGTTGCACATTTATATGGGGTTCTGAATTTAAAAAGTCATCTTGAAAACCTTTGCTGCTGTTAACAATCCTGTCCTTAAGACATAAAGCCCCTCTAGTTTCTGAGCCACAAGCCCGCGAAAATGGGGAAAGGCATATGTTCAAATTCTGCCATTTCATAAGTTATACGGCGATCAAGGCCAAAAAAACCATAGTCGAGACGTTCACATCTGGCGTTCGCCCCACGATTTCCAGATATAACAGCCGTACGTCAATTGGCTCTCAATCAATGATGTGCGGGGTACGATAACGTCATGAAACCATGACACATGGAGGACCGTATTCACTAAACAAAAAATGTGCTGTCTAAAGCGGCCCTCTCAGCTTAAGAAGTATACTAATAGTTATAAGTGAGCTTGTTTCATAATATCTCATGTTCCCTTCTATATCTTCACATGTCAGGCATTCCCTTTACAGATGACATCAAATATGGCAACCATTACGGATGACAAATTTTCTGATAATTTCCGTGTCTACAGTATGAGTACTTACATCTGCACACAACGTCTCGGACATTTAGTGTCCCGGCCGCAGTCAAGTATCAATAATTCCTGAGAGGGGCTAGGCTTTCAGCGATGCATGAGTCGCAGCTTTGAAAAGTTGTGTGGTATCATGGGATAGCGGAACGGTCAAGACTGCTTTTGCGAAGTAGAACTGCAACTGCAGTGAAAACGTGACAAAGCCGAAGCAGTTCGAGTTTACATGGAGCCGAGGCCAGAGCCATGTCCCAAAACTCTTTCGACGCCGAAGGCAACTGTTACGAAGACGCACGTAACCTACGCCAGAGCGAACGCCAACCGTCTAAAAAGCACGGGGGCAAAGCCAAAGACATTCGTCGCAAGTGATTCAAGGCCGAAGCTAAATTGCAACCACCGGCGGAAAATCACGAAGTCGAAGCTAAAGCCGACTTTGTCGCCATGCCTGGCTCGTGCTCATGCCATTTATGACGCACCCCGGCACGATCAGTCGGGATACACGGCTACGGAGTCAGTGACAATGCTGGCGTCCCAGCAGTAATTCAGAAGTCCTTCTACAGCTTACTCAAAACCAAGCGTCATAAGCAGCGTGGCTTTTCATGAGACACCATTGCGATGCCCTTTCTGAAACGATTTCGTAACAAATCTGACCCCAGCTAACGCTCCAGCCTACCGAATTCTTCCTATGTCTCGACTGCATTGCATTCCAATCGCACAAGCACAGGCGGGCACTGAGTGCAGGTTCTCAGGATGCACCGCGGCGGCCGAACATCGCTCAGCGGCCCAGCCCGATGGAACTGAACGACCGTTTTAGCACCGGGAACCGGCCTGGAGCGCCATGCTGGCGTGTTGGCGCAGGGAGGTTAGGGGAAGGAAAGAGGAGGAGGGCGGGGGGGGGGCGGGCGGTAGCGGTGGGTAGGTAGGTAGGTAGGGTAGGTAGGTAGGTAGGTAGGTAGGTAGGTAGGTAGGTAGGTAGGTAGGTAGGTAGGTAGGTAGGTAGGTAGGTAGGTAGGTAGGTAGGTAGGTAGGTAGGTAGGTAGGTAGGTAGGTAGGTAGGTAGGTAGGTAGGTAGGTAGGTAGGTAGGTAGGTAGGTAGGTAGGTAGGTAGGTAGGTAGGTAGGTAGGTAGGTAGGTAGGTAGGTAGGTAGGTAGGTAGGTAGGTAGGTAGGTAGGTAGGTAGGTAGGTAGGTAGGTAGGTAGGTAGGTAGGTAGGTAGGTAGGTAGGTAGGTAGGTAGGTAGGTAGGTAGGTAGGGTAGGTAGGTAGGTAGGTAGGTAGGTAGGTAGGTAGGTAGGTAGGTAGGTAGGTAGGTAGGTAGGTAGGTAGGTAGGTAGGTAGGTAGGTAGGTAGGTAGGTAGGTAGGTAGGTAGGTAGGTAGGTAGGTAGGTAGGTAGGTAGGTAGGTAGGTAGGTAGGTAGGTAGGTAGGTAGGTAGGTTAGGTAGGTAGGTAGGTAGGTAGGTAGGTAGGTAGGTAGGTAGGTAGGTAGGTAGGTAGGTAGGTAGGTAGGTAGGTAGGTAGGTAGGTAGGTAGGTAGGTAGGTAGGTAGGTAGGTAGGTAGGTAGGCGGTAGTATCACATTACGCATGGGCGCGCGCTACCTGGTAAGTTTCCGCGGTAGAAACATCCGACCTGTTTTTAGCTTTAGAACTCTTAACGCGTTTTGCAAAACTAACATAAAACCTCAATCAGCTTACCCTTAATTTCCATATATCAAGGCATACCGGTGAAAGTTATCGGAGAAAAACGAGCGGACAGGGGGTTTGACACCGACAGTAGATCCCACCATTTGGCAACCTCCGTCTGGAAAATGCTGAGATGCTGCTCAGCAAGGCCATCACTGCCGCGTTTCGGTTGCCGTGGTTACGTTTCAGCCCAAGCTGGGCGCGGCTTAGCCCATGCCGGACATCGGCATTCGGCCGCAAATAGTCCCTCTACAAAGTGCGGCAGCCCCGCCCAATGCTGTCTTTACAGCCGCGCCGTCGGGAATCGAACGCGGGCCAGATCACCGTCTTCCCACCGGCACCGCTTCCAGGGGGCTACCAAATCCAATTTGGCGGCGAAAAGTTACGCCGATGGGCCGGAGTGAAGCGAAGTTGCAGCTCATTCTCGAGAGGCGCGCCCGGCGGCCGGCGGCCGGCGGCGCCGGCTGTCCGCCTGTGCCGTCCGGCCGACCACGGGGGTGGACCCCGCACCCACCCAGTGCGCGGTCCACACCCGCCCCACGTCAGCCAATAGCCGGCGCATTATCCCAATAGCGGCCCGAATGAGAGGGGCCAGGCGCGACCGACTTATTCGGGGCTGGCTGAAAGCGCTGGAGCGCGGCGCCCGCGTCGCCGCCGTTTATCGGCGCCCACACCACTAGCCGGTAGCAAAGGCGACAGGCCGCCGGCCGCTGGGGCCACGGCGAGCTCGATTTTCGGTCAAGTCGAGAATTTCCCCCGCACTGTGCATGGGGAATCCCTGATACAATGGCGAACGTGCAACAATGGATGGGCGCGCACATACGGCCGGGAAACACGCCCCATTCAGAGGCACTTCGGTCCTGCTTGAGTGATCCTGCCGGTACTGATGCTTCCGCGGTTACCAGACTGGTGCTGGACCCATTCTGGTTACCCAACTGGTACTGGACACGCTCTGGTTACCCAAATCGTGCTGAAAAGGCACAGGTGATCCCACTGGATCAGCTCAGGTGAGCCCCTGGTGCTGGATAGGATGCGATCCTCAGAACTGGAAACCCGCACGTCACTCTTCTGTTAGTGGAACTGGCCAGCAACAGGCCGAAGGAGACCAGCTCACCAGCTAACGCCAGTCTTTAGTAACGACAGCTCTACATGCGCATTTCGTTTACGTAGTTTATTTTGAAGGTCATCAAAGGCTGACATCCAATTACAGATTGGGTCATATAAACGAATGTAAAAGTAATATACACTTTTTGGTACCTTTGTAGCCACGGAGACGCCTTACCGCGGACCTGACATGCAATCCCGCGGATGGGAATCATCAAGTAGATGACACTAAAATCGACACAAATTGTCTTACCAATGAGCTGATCATGTTCATCTTACGGCAATTTAACACGAGCACTGAAAGGTCTCGGATAACTACTCGTCCTGGCTGGAAGGGCAGGAGGGGGAGGGGGGAGGGGGCAAATCACGCCCCTGAGCTATCCACGAATCATCATAAAGGAAGGGTGGCAAACCTCACCCTGTGTGTGGTCATCATTAGGATTCATACTGTGTAAAACAGTTACCACCCCAGGCTGATATCTTCTGGGTCAAATGAGGTCAAACGTGTCAACCTGGCTGGCCAGCCGAATGGGTGAGCGGCCGCACACTGGACACACTGACTATTTTAGGCATCGTAAAAGAGAACCCAAGCTCAAGGTGTAGGTTGGTAATGTAAGGAACTATGCTAGCTAAAAATACCTGGCTCTAGGTCAGCATCCTCAAGACCAAACGACACAGGCATGACAACCAGGTTTGCTGGCCGGGCAGCAGGGCGGCGGGGCGACGGCTTCCTCGACTATTTAGGGAACCGGAAGAGGCAGAGTATCACAGTTGTCTTCCCCCACCCCCCACGGGGTGCCGGTGGTAAATAATTATGCTGGGAGAGCAAAGGAGAACTATGTTAGGAGAGAAAATGATAACTATCTTAGGATAATCTTGACTGGCTGTCCATGTGAGCGCGCAACTCGGCACACTACAATAGTTACTTTGCCGATATATGATTGAACAAAACCACGGACTATTTCCTTTGTCTCTGCTTTGAATAACGTACTGGGAATAATTAGGGAACAGATAGCATAGTGTGCCAATATGGCCATTCACTAGAGAGGTATTCTCGAAAACTAGGGCAGGGGCGGGTTCCCAATGCGCGTGCTAAAGAGCTTAGCTCACTGATGCAGCATTCAAGTGCCAATTCACACAGAAGAGTGCTCCGAAATTGGCTAGCGAGGGGTCTGAGCGCTTTGGCCGGCGATACACATGGATTCCGATCCATTTACGTCTGCACTGGTTGCCAGCAGCGCAATGACAACAAAAAAGCGCAGCTATTTTGGGTGAGTGGTAAGGTGAGTATATCAGTAGGCAGATGATATCACAGCGACAGTCAGTTCCATTCTCGGTCACGTCCGGACTTTTCCTAGAAGTGTGCAAGGGCAAGGCCTGACCGGCACGCCTCAATAACGAATATCCATCTGGGCCGCACTACTGCGGATGAATTTGGCGCTCCATGACCAGACTTGCGGCAAGACATCAAGAGAATCGCCACGTGTCTTTGCAGACATGCTACGTGGAAGAGGCGCCATGAACCCGAAGGCTATCGCTGCAGGCACAGAACGCTCCCCGAGCCAGCTGCCGGTGACGTCAGCGGCAGCGGGCGGCCGGCACGTGCCACCCGTGGGCCGCCCCCGCTCCGCCGGACACGGCCGGCGCGCCAGAATCACGCAGCCACCCTCACTCATCGGGAGTGGTTTTCCTTGCTCGCCGGGCGTGAGCCCCCATCCGCCCGAAATAACTCAATCCGGCGATGTTTCCAACTCCCCTGCGAGCGAGCGGCGCGCCCCGGACCCGAAATCGGCCCAGGTGACGGTGGCGGACAGTGAACATCTGGCGAAGGTAGACCAAAGTAAGACCATGCCCGTCCAGAAAGAGAGCGGTCCTCTGCCAAACTGTTCTGGTTCTGAGCGGTCCTGAGCGGTTCTGAGACGACGGAACCGCACCGGTCCGTGCCGAATCGGACCCAGGGACGAGTGGAGCACCACATGCCAACAAGCCGGTCGGTTCATGGCTGCGGAGTGCTGAAGGCCCGGATGCGGACTGGTCAATGTCCTGATACGGAGCCGAGCCAGACTCGGGCATGCGGAGGGCGGCCGGCCGCCGGTCATTGTCGGGCCTTCACGGCGGCGTCCGCCGTCCGCAGCGACCGGCAGCAGCAACACGGCGCAGTGTTTTCGGAAAGGGAGGCCCGGCTTGGGAGATTGGGCTAAATCGAGGAATGCTGGCTTTGAGAATTTACGGAGCTCGTGATTGTTTCCACGTTGATCCAAGAGGAAAAAAGCGAGCGGGCACAGAAAATAACAGGAGCAATGACTTCAGGAAAAGCGTAAAACCGTTGCTTGACTTTTCCCACACAACGTGCTTAAAGAAGTCAGCATGTTCATAGACTACTGTTTAACACAGAAAACATAATTTCCCCCATTAGTTGCAAAGTAAAAAGCCCAGTGGCGAGGGCGCCGGTTTCGTAAAAATGAGATCTATGGAAAGCATCTTCCCGTTGCGATACGCTCCTAAAGAGACTTTCAGCTTGAATTATACGTGTTCAAGCACCCACAGTCACTATACAACTTTTCAGACACGACAGACCACAGCGAAAGACAAGCACCTTCTGACGGCCGAAACATTACCGACCGCGAACCGGAACACGATTGTTGTTGTCTGTTGGAGTTTTGGGGCGCGTCGACTACTGTGGTCATTTTGCGCCCAAACCGGAACATGAAATTACACATTTATCAACGCTACAGCAGTATTTACGAACATGATGAGACCAGTGCTACATAGCAGTGCTACAGCACAGTGCTTATCAATTGTCGTTATTACCCAATCATCAAAGTCATTGAGGCGCCTTGCGCGGCGAATGATGGTGAGGCGACCTCGACCGTGGCAGCCGTCACTCACAATGATGTACAAATTGCTAAAAGCTTAGCTGGTGGGACCGGTGCGCTTTTAGCAAACCGTACAAATGGGTAATCAAATTTGCGTAATCAACGAACGCGTAGGAAGTTCACATCCTAAGGGAGCTGAACCGGATAAATTCCAATGTTGTAGCAATAGCGCACTGCTGCCCAAATGGCAATTGTTTGAAACCTGGCTGGCGTAAGTTGGATCCGGCCTAGAAACCGCATTTGACGAGATGCCTGAGTAACAATGACTAATAGATTTGCAGCATAGCGTCACCATACAATTGCAGGAAGCCGGAGGTATTCTGTGTGGATAGTGGTCGCAGTCAACTGGGTTGTACGCCCGTGTAGTTTTCAAGGCGCAACCTGCTTCAGCTCAGACTGAACGCCTGACATTCAAGATTTGTTCGCGAGAAAGGTGGCACTGCCCACTTTCCGGTCGGTTACTGGCGCACGTCTGGGCCGGATTGTTCTGGGATAAGTTGGCGATCTGTAGTCGCTACATGAGCAGCAAGCAGGTACACCGTGCAGCTGATATTATACCTTCTCATCTGATTGCTGAGGTTGCTGAGGTTGCTGAGGTTGCTGAGGTTGCTGAGATAAGAAAATCCGTAGGAGTGCCCGCGACGAGTGCATCCATGGTATGCATACAAGAGGAATATCTGCACATATCGACGTACTCATTTGTTAACACTATCGGTGGTGTTCTCCTCCCTGATAATAGGTTGTTCTCGATAGAATCGGAAAATCGATGTAGCCGCGACACCAGGGCGTCGAGATCTGTAGCTTGTTTCAACCCATGCCCTTCAGCCTCTTCGCAATTTAAAACTTTTCCATTCGCATGTCAATCGCATGGGGTGAAATGTCTGTAATATTGGAAAGGTGCGGGCAAACTTAACCTGATAAAACAGCCTTCACACAAATATCTACCGATGGTGGCGCACAAGCCAATAAGACAATTGCGCTCCTTTCTGCGGAAAGGCGCCTAAATCTGTCATCAGTGGTTGCAAACACACTGGCCTTTGTAAACATATCAGCGTGCCGGAGCCGTGGCGGTCGCGTCGGGCCGCCCACCACACACATTCTGCCTTAGTCCATGCGTGACGAACTCGTCCTGCCGATTCAATTGTGAGAACAGTTTTATGTGTAGGACTTATACTTAAAAATGCCGATCACGTATGTGTCCCACAGTGCAGAAATAAAAAGGAGACACGGAAGGGAAGCGCTTAAACAAATGGTAAGCCAAACTGGCCTGTGCAATAAGCGTCCCTGCATGCACAGACGTGGTACAGCCCGATATGAATACTTGATGCTTCCAGACATGAAAGGTCGAATACTCCAGCAGCTCACAACGTTCGCGTCCGGTTTCGCCTGGTTAGTTCTCCCTGCCCTGCACTCCTCTCCATTCATGAGATGCCTTTTATTTCCCGCAGCGACGGCTGAGCGCCGCCACTGCCTGCTGTCACCCTGCACAGCAGTCACACCGGCCGGTCACGGCCACCGCGCCGACTGAGTACTGGCTGCGCCCGCGCCGCTGCCGCCACGGCTGAGAGGGACGCATCTCCAGCCCCCCACCCGCCCCTAGCTTAGGTCGGGCAGGGCAGGGCAGGGCAGGGCAGGGCAGGGCAGGGCAGGACAGGGCTGGGTCAGGTCGTCACCACACGTGGCTTCGAACTAAAAGCCATGCAAAAGAATCTCAGCATTTCAAGGTTGTGTCGAAAAGCCATGAGCTTATCCTTCACGTAAAACATAGTCCGGGCCAGAACCCCAGTATATAAACCCACCCAGAGTCTGTGTCGAGTCCACGCGCGAGGGACGTGTCTGAGTCGGTCCGCCGGCGACGGGGTCTGAGTCAGAAGTAGAACTCATACGTTCCTCACGGAATTGTACGGTACAGAGATATGTGCATATAAGATTGTCCAGAATGGACGGCACCATAGATACAAATGACCAAGCGCCGTAGCTCAATCCAACCTAAAACGAAAATAGCCTAATCCAGCCTGATCTCAAGTCCTGGTATAGTGTGTGGCTCATAAATACGTCATCGAGTAAATGACTACGGTCCACGCATTTTGTTTCAGCCTGGGTTAGGCCTCCATTGGTTTTTATTTGAGTCTGATTCCTGAGCCGCCAACTTTAGCCCAACTTAGTCTTGCTCACTGACATTCTTTCCGGTTCAAGTCTGAGTTCGTGTTGGCAGGTCATTAACACTGGCCCAATCATGGGTGAATTAGATTAATATGCGGAGTCAATCAACTAATTCAGGTCGCAATCTCAAAATGTCATGAGTCCGGCCCGATTTAGAGTCGGGCAGGACTCAGACTACTGTCAGCAGCGTCCGACAGCACAGGCGGCCGCCGCCGTCCACCGCTGCCCGGCGCCGCCCGCCACTCCCAACAGGCCATTTCTCAGAGCGAAACTGCAACTTGGCTGCCTTTAAATCGGGCCATGTAATCATACAGACCGGAAACGGGGCACTTCCACTAAATAGCTATTTATGAGTTAGCGGCGTTCAGAAGTGTAACAAGTCGGCGCATCGCATCGCAATTACTGCCAACGCTAATCACGTAGTTAGCCGTCTCTATTGGCCCGCCCGGTAACAGCGAACGGTCTGTCCGCCGCACGGCTCGCATGGCAGATCGGACAGGTCAGTGTCTCACTCGGCTGCAAGCCGGCCGCTCTCCCTGTGTCCGGCCTACCCTGGCGGGGGACGTGCCGCGCGCGCAGCCGCCGCCGCCGCCGCCGCCGCCGCCGCCGGCGACGGTGCAACAGGCTACTCACGTCGCGCAGGGTGATTATGTTGGGGTGCGTGCCGTACCGCAGCAGTATCTCGATCTCCTCCAGGCAGTCGCCCTTGTTCTTCTTGTCGATGATCTGGAACGGAGCCAATGTCGTCATCAGTCGGGGCGGCCGGGCGGGGCGGGGCGGGGCGGTGGGGCGGGGTTGGGGCGGACGGCAGCCATACGACAGTCACACATGACCTCCTTTGCACGCTTTCCCATGGGGATTACCGGGAGCAAATGAGCTCTCCAGGAATGGAAGTACGAAAATGGGTTGCAACGCTTATTCGCATGGAGGTGATTCGTCTGAGACATCCCAGCTCGATGCCGTCTGGCGGGGCTGAGCCCTGCAGAACAGAAGTAGCTCTCCGCCGGCGGTGGGCGGCAGCGACAGAACGAAGCTCGTTAGCGCTAGCGCGCCGGCTCCACTCCACAATGGCGACTTCTCCACAATGGCGAGCTCAATGACACCGTCAACTCAGAGTGGCAGCCGTTCGCGGTGCCCAGCCGCTGAAAACAGCACACAGACAGGTCGGATCGAAACGCTTCCAGGTATCTGAGCACGACCGCCCCGATGAGAAAGCGCGAGGCGGTCACTGGGGACCAATTGAGAGACGTCAACGCCAACACAGAGCCTGGAAAGGCGGACGGCGTCCGCCCGCAACAACCGGCCACCACTGGCGCCGGCGGACGGAAGGCAGCGTCTTCAGAAGACGGGACGGCGCCTGGCAGGAGAAGGGGCCACCGCGGACCACCGGTTGCCGGCGACGTGCCCCTCGGCGGGAGGCGAGGGGGGGGACGGAAGGTCCGGCCCGGTCCGGCCCGGAGGGAATCAGCATCAGCCGCCGCCGCCGCCGCCGCCGCCCGATGAACATGCAGCGGAGGTGGGTCGGAACCAGTGCCCGGATGTGTCGAGTATTGATCGGTCGACGGCAGCGCGCGGCAAGCGGACAGCTCCGGCCGTCCTCGCCACAATTAGCCCATCACCGTAATGCGGCACACACGGGGGCCATCATCGCACGAACGCGGAGGTGTGTGTGTATGGGGAGGGGGGGGGGGGGGGCCGGCGGCGGCGCCGTGTCGTTGGCGTGACCTCAAGACACCGCAGACTAACCGCACGTGTCGTTGGCGTCACCTCAAGACACCGCAGACTAACCGCACGTGTCGTTGGCGTCACCTCAAGACGCCGCAGACTAACCGCACGTGTCGTTGGCGTCACCTCAAGACACCGCAGACTAACCGCACGTGTCGTTGGCGTCACCTCAAGACACCGCAGACTAACCGCACGTGTCGTTGGCGTCACCTCAAGACACCGCAGACTAACCGCACGTGTCGTTGGCGTCACCTCAAGACACCGCAGACTAACCGCACGTGTCGTTGGCGTCACCTCAAGACACCGCAGACTAACCGCACGTGTCGTTGGCGTCACCTCAAGACACCGCAGACGACAGCCGCAACGCAGTGTGGGGAGCTGCGCTGTATATCGCCAGCGTTTGTGAGACAAACATGGCGCGCGGAACCAGAAGAAACGCTATTTGAAGGCGATTCGATTTGAGTCGACCGCGATTTGATTTAATATCGGGTGATCTGAGCCACCGACGAGCCGACTTGATCAGGTGATTCACGCTGTCACGTCAGATGACGTCAGTTAACGCAGCACATTATGTGAGCCTCGCCAACCAATAACGGGCCAGGCGATTCAGGCTGAAATCCAATGCTGTCAGGATGGATTACGCAGTTCCATCCAGCAGCTCGGGCTGGTGATGGCTTACGTGACACGGTGGCCGGGTGCGTCAGTGGAACAGATTGCGCAAGTGAAGTGCAGTTGGTAAACACACGGTAATGTCGGACTGTATTCTCAAAGCGTGCGGCCTGTCCTGGAGCGTCCGCGATCAAAAATTTGTTTATGAACATGTATCGGGCACAGTACACGTGTGGACAGCTGCTCAAATACGCTTGCGATTAGCCTCAACGCTCAACAGGCTTCCCAAATCTGGTCACGGACACGGAATTTCAGATACCTGACCACCGGTCCACAACCTTTTCATAACTTTCCTGGTATCTTCTCAGCAACGCAGCATCTTAAGCTGCGCGAGCCATCGGGGGGGGGGGGGGGCGGGGGGGGACTGGCGTACGTCGCCGTGCGCACTTTTATGGAGCGCTAGTGTGCCGGTGGCCATTTTGGCGCACAGGGACCTCAGTGCCAGCTTTTAGCTTCTTAGGCCTCAACACCGAAGGGTAATCGAATCCGGATGAGACGCGACACCCGCAATCTTGGCCATCCGGCTATCGCCGGCGACGAAAAAGACCTGATGGAGTGTATGTCCACCTATATTCAAAACGTAACCACTTCACGTGAATGAACCAGTGACGGGACACAAGTTCGTCATCTGTTCAGAAAGGTACCATAGAATCCATACTCAGTCTTCGCAGTGAAATGTAGTCAAGTTCTTTGTGACATATATCAAAATAACACATGCTGGCTCCAATGTTTTGAGTTTTGGTAAGCTTTCCTAGCTCACTTTTACACGACTGCTCTCATAAAATTGTTCTAACCGTTACTTGCGCGCGCTCCCTCCCCCCCCCCCCCCCCCTATACAAAACAGTATGTGTTCCATTCCGGTGTGCTCATCTTATCAAACGTTCATTATCATAAGATACACAGACCATGACTCCAGAACTATGGCGAGCCAACATCCCGTGCGCCAACCCGAGCCGGGGCAGAGGGCTAAATAACTGAAAAATAAAGCTGACATTCGACACAGCTTAATTTGTCTTGAATTTTAAAGCCGATATTGCCCTCTTCCACCTCACATAAGAGCCCATGCTGTTCACAACACCTTTCGGTGAACGATCGCACGTCCGCTACTGTGGCTCTACGCCGCACTCAGCTGCTGCGGCGAGACGTGAGCTGCATCTCACCCCGGCAGGAAGGGCGGGCAGCACAGGGAATCGAACCCCGTACTCCCGGTTGTTTCATGTTTGCATGCAAACAAGAACGTGCTAAAAGAGACGCAGTGAAGCCAAATGCTCCCATTACACCCTACACCTCCGTAAATGGTCAGCTGGCAACACCGTCAGGCGGCCGGCTCGAGGCAGCGCGCGCCAGACCTCTGCACCTGACCTGCTTCTCATGCGAGCGGGGGCGCTCCTCCACACCGTCACAACGCGGCCGTCGCGGAGACGAACGGCGCGGAATATGAGCGGCCCCGTGGGCGCTCCATCACGTCCGCCGATCCACAATTCATCTTATCCCATGCAAGGTCGGCGAAATTCAGCGCCGCATTCGTACCGCCATTCGTCACAGGGCGGCAGGCAGCATTCAGACACTGATGGTGGGCGGCGGCTGCGCATCGCCGCCAGAGGGGCTGTTTAAAACCCGTCAGGGGCTGCCGTATACCGCCCTCAGGGGCTGCTGTGTACCAGCGTCAAAGGCTGCTATGTACCGCCGTCAGAGGCTGCTGTGTACCACCGTCCGGGGCTGCCGTGTACCATCGTCAAAGGCTGCTGTGCGTCATCGTAAGGGGCTGCTGTGAACCACCGTCAGAGTCCGCTGTGCACCGCCTTCAGAGGCTGCTGTGTACCACCATCAGGGGCTGCTGCGTACCACCGTCAGAGGCTGCTGTGTACCACCGTCAGAGGCCGCTGTGTACCACCGTCCGGGGCTGCCGTGTACCACCGTCAAAGGCTGCTGTGCACCACCGTAAGGGGCTGCTGTGAACCACCGTCAGAGGCTGCTGTGCACCGCCGTCAGAGGCTGCTGTGTACCACCGTCAGGGGCTGCTGCGTACCACCGTCAGAGGCTGCTGTGTACCACCGTCAGAGGCTGTTGTGTACCACCGTCCGGGGATGCCATGTACCACCGTCAAAGGCTGCCGTGCACATGCGTAAGGGGCTGCTGTGAACCACCGTCAGAGGCTGCTGTGAACCACCGTCAGATGCTGCTGTGAACCACCGTCAGAGGCTGCTGTGTACCACCGTCAGAGGCTGCTGTGTACCACCGTCAGGGGCTGCTGCGTACCAACGTCGGAGGCTGTTGTGTACCACCGTCAGAGGCTGCTGTGTACCACCGTCAGAGGCTGCTATGTACCAGTGGGCAGAGTTGCTCCTATTCTTTTGTCGCAGACACGGCTCGGCCCAGCTTCACATCCAGCATGGGGTCGGGACTCCTCCAGCACAGTAAAGGGCAGCCCCGCAGCAGCACGGCGCCAGTTATGACGTACTTCTCATCAGCGCGATGCCTGACGCGACACCATCCAGATGTATGTATCAGCGTGCACGGTTTTGGTGCTCGGTAGGTAGGAACATGGCAAGACAGAAGCTAGAATATATGTAACCTCTGCATAATCCCGCCCTTGTTCCTGAACAAGTGAACACAGAAAGAATATCCGATCGTCCATTTTTTTCTTCTAATTCAGTCCCTTCATTTGTGTTGCTTAACGGCGAAGAGTACAAAATTCAATCGATGCAGGGCATTTCCACGATGGAACAAGGACGAAATCCCCATTGCCGAAACTGCACGCGCCATGCATGTACATCCCCCCCCCCCCCACCACCACACAGAAATCTGGCTGCAGCACCCGCCGCCGGAAGGCAGACTACGTGCAATGGAAGTGCCAATTGTTGCGTCCGTTGCCGGGCAACACGCCGCCGTCAGGGCACTGAGCGGGTCGACGGCGCTGACGCGAGCTAATTGGCTCGGCCTGGCGGCGCGCGGCGGCAGTGCGCAGCGGCCCGCTCTCCTGATTAAGCCCACATAACGAGATGACGACTATCGGGTACGCCGAAGAGCAGCGCTGCAGGCGGCGACACCCCGGTGCTCAGCGGCGCTGATTATGAGCGCAGTGCTGAGCTGGCTCCGGACCGACAGCCAGACCGGGGCAGACCGGGCCGGCCGGCAGCTTCGGCGCTGGCCGCCACCAGCCCGGTATCCACAGCGGGCGGCCCAGCCCATCACCGAGCGCCGGCGCGGCAACAGGACACTGGCGCCCATTCGCGGCCCAATGCGAGACAGCGCTGAGAGCCCCCGAGCATCAAGCGCGGCATGTGGTAACAAAACTAATCCAGCCGCAACTGCCCGCGATAAGCACTCGC